TTTTTTTTTTTTTTTTTTTTTTTTTAAAGTTCAGGTTAGCCACATCTGTAATCCCAGCACTCAGAAGGCTGAGGCAGGAGGACTGCCTCAAATTCGAGGCCAGCCTGAGCTATACACCATGAGTTCAAGGACAGCCTGAATGCCATAACAAGACCCTGTCTCAAAAAACAAAAAAAAAACAGGTCACTGTCTTTGGGAACCTGGATATGGCTGCAAAGCAGTAACATAGCAATTAAATAGGAAAAGCAGTAATCAAAATCTCTGGTTTACTGACAGCTACGGACTCAAAGCCTGTCTGCATTCTCATTTTACCTCAGCTTACAATCCGCACATGTGGACACCACTCTGTTACCAGTAACAGGTGAGAAGTAGGCAGAAGCAATGCTCTTCGTGTGCTCAGTCACAGAGACCAAAGGCTGGCTCCTCCGGGGATTCAGGTACCTGGCGTCATAAACATGGGTATCCCTGTGGTAGGGAAATAACAATCAATACCACCACAGTGCATGCAGTGAGCTACAGGACAGGGCTGAACATAAGCTAGACGCTCAAAAATATCTGCTGCACTGAAGAACATTTTAAACAAAACTCTAATTTTTTAGAGCAACTTCAATTATTTTTAAGTAACTTTTTTCTGCACAAATGATTTGCTGAGACATTTTTACACCCAATAGTTTCTTACCAATAAAACAATAGTTAGGTCTGGTGGAGCATACCTGACCCAGCACTCAGGAGGCTGAGGCAGGAGGATAGCTAGCTGTACATTCAAGGCCAGCCTGGGCGACAGTGAGTTCAAAGCAAGCCTGAACTACACAACAAGACCCTGTCTCAACAAACCAAAAAACAAAACAAAACAAAACCAACAAAAAATATTCAAAATCAGTCTTGTGTTTTTTCCTATTATGATACTAAGACTTTTAAATGGTTCTCTAGAGGTTTTCTTATTATTTGTAACAATAACTGAAGTACCAACAAGTATTAGATTCATTCAGAAGATTCAACCATTCCACAGACCCAAAAGGAAAAGCAAATAGTCTGCTTACTTGCAAATAACTGTACGAATGTTACAAAAAGATTTTTTTTTCTTCCCTGATTTCTTCTGTGGCCCACTGATTATGTAATAATATATTATTTACTCTCCAGGCGTTTACCTAGTCAGAAATCCTCTAAACTTCTGCAATAATTTTATAAACAATGGTATAGATACAAGGTAAAATATTTAGAAAACTCCAAAACTGTAACAGCTACATGTAAACCAGCAGATATACAGGTAAGTATCTAGTTAGTTCTTTAATCTTTCCAAGAAAAAAAGCACCACAAGCCAAATTATGGATCTATATAACTTTTTTTTTATAATGCTATATTTTCTCAGAAAACTAAAAGTAAATGAACATAATGCCAAGGAAAACAAATGTACATTCTTCTCAGGACTTTCACTATTCATTAAATCCAAAAGAGCTGTGTGTGGTGATGCATGCTTGTGACCCCAGCACTCAGAAGGCTGAGGCAAGAGGCAGGACTGCTTCAAGTTTGAGGCCAGATGGACTACATAGTGAGTATAAGACCAGCCTGAAATACAAAGTGAGAGCCTGTCTTAGAAAAAAAAAAAAAAAATCACACTCAAACTGGGCACAGTGGTGCATACCCTGTAATTCAGCACTCGGAGGCAGAGGAAGGAGGGCCACTGTGAGCTCAAGACCAGCCTGGGCTACATAGTGAGTTCACGGGCAGCGTGAACCACATAGTGAGTTCAAGGTCAGCCTGAACTACATAGCAAGACCTTGTCTCAAAAAAACAAACAAAAAATACACTCAAAAGAGCCTCCATCAGTGTAAAAAGGAAAATTATTTGGCCTTTGTATAATAGAAAAGTCAGATTCTTTGACAACCAAACTAAACTAATATTTTCTGAAAAACATACCTCAATCCTGCAGTGATGAAATACTGTCGTTGCACAGGGTGTATATGAACAGTTCTTATCTTTGTCATAGAAGAACTAATAAGCTTCTCATAAGAAGTACCAGGTGTCCGTCTATCCACCAGTGACAGGGCCCCATCCCAGTGTCCTACTAGTAAAGTGGCAGCACTCTCTGCCAAGAAGTCGAAGGAGGATAAGCTCCTGCTTTCATTCCTGTACACCTGAGGGTGTGAATAACAGTTAGCTGTGTGACATTTTTCCCTTAAGAAAAATCACTACATAAGCTCTTGGTAACAGTTATAAAGTACTTTACCCAGATGACCTTACTTATCTTCCTGTCATCCACCCAGGAAGCACAGGGCAAACCAGAAAGCAAGGCAGTGTTCAACTGTAAGGCTTACCTCCAATCAAATGCCCCACCTACTCACATCAAGGCCTCAGCCCAAATCTCAAAACCAATGACTCTCTGTCCCAGACCTACCCTGCAAAACTCACTAGGAAATGAAATGAGTCTGAATTCCATCCAACTGAAATTATATCTTAATATGGCAAGTAACTCTGCCAACCGAGTCCAGATAGTCTGTTGACTGTTCATCTGTTCTTGTAGTAAATTAAGAGATTAAAATTATTGACAGTTAATCAGGCTGTATCTATCAAAATATGCAATGCTGGGCTGGAGATTTAGCTCAAAGGCATCACTGCCTGCCTCGCAAGTGCAAGGTCCTGAGTTCAATCCCTGGTACCACCAAAAACAAAAAAACAAAAAACAAAACCTAATAATTTCACTAAAATAAATGAATGAAGATGTCTGCTACAAGAAAGCTTGTAATAGCAACAAGAAGCCACCAAGACAGATCTTATCAAATGAGTTATCACCTCTCCACTCTGAAATATCATGCAATGCTGAAAACATTGAGGTAGTGTGGTCTTACTACCTCTCCAAGATTTACTATTAAATGAAAAAGAGGGAAATGCAAAAGACTTCTATGGTATGAATCCATTAGTACAAAGAAAGGGAGGAACAGGGCAATGTTTGTAAAGATATGGTATGCACTTTCTGGAGGCACACTCAAGATACATGGTTACTTCGGAGACGGGCGTGGTAGCTCATGCCTGTAATCCCAGCACTCAGGAGGCTGAGGCAGGAGGATCGCTGTGAGTTCGAGACCAGCCTGGGCTACATAGTGAGTTCGCTGTGAGTTCAAGATCAGCCTGGGCTACATAGTGAGTTCCAGGTCACTCTCAACTACATAGTGAGACCCTGTCTCCCAAAAACGAAACAAAACAAAAAACCACAATGGTTACTTCCACAGCTTGGGAACTGCCAAAGAGCAGATTTACTCTGCACATCCCACTAACTGTAAATATTTTATCAAGAACATGTATTATGGGTACAATACTTAATCATGTATAAGCAACAATGATATCGTTACATGTTCAGGGCTCACACACTGAGGGGACAAAAAAACAAATACTTCTATCAAGTAAGAACAAATGCTATTATTACTGTTGAATCATGAACTGCTACTGCTTTTTATTTTGATAACAAGTAGCATAATCTGAAATTAATAAATTAATCTCTAAAGCATCACAACACCCCAAAAAGCTCAATATATACAAATGAAACTTCAAGTACTTTGGTTTGTATGTAAAAATAGTTAAGAGGAGGGGCTTTGGAGTCAGACAAACTCCAGGGCAAATTTTAGTTCTACCAGGCCAGGGATTTAGCTCAGCGGTACCGTACCTGCCTCACAAGTGCAAGGTCCTGAATTCAATCGCCGGTACCAAAAAAAATTTTTCATTCTACCACTTCTATTTTTGTCGTTGTTTTGTTTTGTTTTTGAGGCAGGGTCTTGCTGTGTAGTTCAAACTGGTCTCAAACTCAGTGATCTTCCTGACTCAGCCTGCTGAGTCCTGAGATTACAGGCCTGCGCCACCACGCCCAGCAACCACTAGTATGTTCTTGAGCAAGGTAATAACCTCTCTGCCTCAGCTTTTTCATCTGTTAAATGGGGATAAAATTACCTATTTCACAGACTGTTTTAAGGCTTAGTACTAAATATAAAGCACATTCATAATTTCACATATGTACAGCAAAACTGTATAATCAGCAGTATCAAGAACATGTTACTCAGCCGGGCATGGTGGCGCATGCCTGTAATCCCAGCACTCGGGAAGCTGAGGCAGGAGAATCACTGTGAGTTCGAGACCAGCACAAGGTACAAGTGAGTTCCAGGTCAGTCTCAATACATAGTCACACTCTATCTCAAAAAGCCAAAAAAAAAAAAAATTAAAAAAGAACAAATTACTGATACATGCAACAACACAGATGAATTTTAAAAGCATGTGACAGGAGAAAGCAGACACAAAAGCATACACACCGAGTGAGCCAGACACTGGGAAAGACACAATCACAGGCACAGTATCACATCAGTGGTTACCAAGGCTGCAGACAGAGGGAAGAGTGACTAAAAAGGGTCATGACAGAATTCTGTGGGGATAGGGAAACTTCATCGTGCCTATGGTTATATAGGTGCAAACTAAAACCCATGAAACTGTGCACCTAAATAGGTAAATTTTACTATATAAAACTTAAGCTCCAATAAACCTGACCTCTAAAAAAGTAGAAAAGTTTTACAACTCAATAGAAAAGATTAACAACCCAACTAAAACAAAGGGAAATTTTCTAAATAGATGTTTCTGTAAAGAGCATAAGGAAAGCTGCTCAGCATGGCACCAGCCATCATTAGGGAAATGCAAATCAAAACCACAGCAAGGCGCCACCACAACCACAGGACAGCCACCCTCCCAGAAAAAAGTCATCACAAAGCTGTGGGCAGACGTGAACCCTCACACATGAATGGTGGGTATATAAATGATGCTGATGGTTGAAGGAAAATTTGGCAGTCCCTCAAGATGCTAAACATTGCTGGGCATAGTGACATACATTTGTAATCCCAACACTTGGGAGGCTGAGGGAGGAGGACTGCCTCCAGTTTAAACCCACCCTGGGCTACAGAGTGAATTCAAGGCCAGCCTTCAACATAGCTAGATCCTGTTTCAAAAAAATTCAAGGTACCTCCTGACACATGAATGCTCACATCTGCATTATTTGGAACAGTTAAAAACAGTACAGCAGCCAGGCGTGGTGGAGCACACCTGTAATCCCAGCACTCGGGAGGCCAAGGCAGGAGGATCGCTAGTGAGCTGAGACCAGCCTGGAAGACATAGTGAGTTCCAGGTCAGTCTCAACTACACAGTGAGACCCTGTCTCAAAAAAGCAGCACAGCATGGTAGCTCATACCTGTAATCCTGGTATTTGGGAGGCTGAAGCAGAAGGATTTCTTTGAGTTTGAGGCCAGGCTGGGGTATACACTGAGTTCAAGCCCAGCCTGAACTACATTGAGACCCAGTCTCAAAAAAAAAAGAGAGAAAGAGAGCTAAGGGCATAGCTCCTACAGCGTATGCTCAGTATGTATGTGTGAAGGCCTGGGTTCTGCCAACTACTACTGCAAGGAAAAACAGAGAAGGACACATAGGCAAGAGAAAGAAAGGAAGAGAAAGAGTAGGAGAAAGGGAGACAAATAAAGGGAAAAATTGCCCATGAACTAGCACAAGCAATCATCAACAAGCAGGATGACTTCCTATTAAAATCCTTCTAAACTGGGTGTGGTGGTACACACCTATAATCCCAGCACTGGGAGGATGAGGGAGGAGGATCACTATGATAAATTCGAAACCAGCCTGGGCTACATAGTGAGTTCTAGGCAGTCTCAACTACAGCGAGATCCTGTCTCAAAAAAACAAAAAAAAAGCTTCTGCACAGCAAGAGAAACAACCAACATTGTGAAGAGACAACCCACAATGTGGAAAAAAGTTTCACCAGCTCTTCCTCAGACAAAGGTCTACTATCTAGAATATATAAAGGACTTAAAAAATCAGGCCTCCCAAATTTAAAGACCCAATCCAAAAATGAGCATATGAAATGTACAGACATTTCCCAAAGAAGTAGAAATAGCAAATAAACATATAAAAAAATGTTCAGGCCTGTCATGTAAAGGTACAAGATTCCAATCATGAATGTAATTGTACTGTATACCTAAAAGGTACCAATAAACTCAATAAAAAAAAAATGTTTGGGGCCAGGGGTTTGGCTCAGTGGTTCCGCCACCTGCTTCACAAGCACAAGGGCCACAGTTCAATCCCTGGTACCAAAAAAAAAAAAAATGTTCACCATCACTGGTCATTCGAGACATGCAAATGAAAACCACACTGAGATTCCACCTCACCCCAGAAAGAATGGCTGCTATCATGAAATTAACCAATAACAAATGCTGACAGGGCTGAGGGGAAAGAGGAACACTGCTCTACTGCTGGTGGGAGTGCAGACTGGTGCAACCACTGTGGAAATCAGTATGGAGATACCTCAGAGAACTAGGATTGGAGGTCCCATTTGACCCAGCTATGCCCCTGCTGGTATCTCCCCAAAAGAATTAAAAGAATCCTACCACAGTGATATATGTGCACCCATGTTCATAGCAGCACAATTTGTTATAGCTAAAATTTGGAAGCAGCCCACATGCCCATCAATTAGAGACTGGACAAAGAAAAATGTGTACTTTTTTTAATGGCATACTACTCAGCCATAAAAAATGAGAAATTAGAGACATTTATAGCTAAATGGACGAACACTGAGGAGATACTCTTTTTTTTTGTTTTGTTTTGTTTTGTTTTGGGGGATTGAACTTGAGTCCTTGCGCTTGCAAGGCAGGCGGCAGCACCACTGAGCTAAATCCCAGGCCCTTGAGGAGATACTCTTAAGTGAAATAAATAGTATACACATGTGTAAATATCAAACGGTTTCTCTAGTGTGAAAAACTGAAAGTGTAAATAAGGACTAAAAGGTATAACAGATAATGTGAAATAGGAAGAAAAGGGACAAAGGGGAAGGGGAAATTGGAGGGATAGGGGAAAGGAAAGAAGGAAATGGAATTAATATGAGAAAATGAAAAATAATGGAAACAAAGTCTTTGTAGATAGGGACAGAGGGAGGGAGGGGTTGAAGGGAGGGCAGTGGGATGAGGAAAAAAATAAGAACCAAGATTGACTATGTAAAGGTACAAATTTCCAACAATGAATGTCAGTATATTGTATACCTTAAATGTACCAATAAAATTAATTTTTAAAAAAAGAAAGGGAAAGAACACGCTGTACTACAATTATTAGAATAACTTTTAAAACCCTTTTAAAAATTATGCTCCAGGTGTGGTAGCTCATGCCTGTAATCCTAGCATTCAGGAGGCTGAGGCAGGAAGACTGACATGAGTTTGAGGCCAGCCTGGGGTACCCAGAGTGTTCAAAGCCAGCCTGAATTACATAGTGAGACCCTGTCTCAAAAAATAAATAAGTAAGGGGCTGGTGATTTAACTCAGTGGTGCCACTGCCTGCCTCACAAGCACAAGGCCCTGAGTTCAATTACCCAGTACCAAAAACAAAAACAAAACAAAAAATAAGTAAGCAAGCAAGTAAGAACCATTTATACAAGAAGTATTTAGAATAATTAGATATCTGAATGTGTTAGTTTTGATACTGGCCTATACAAAAATAAGGCAAAAAAATTAGATCATCAACTAGTATTTATAATGCAACTTCAGCGATGAGTTGCTCCTTTCACTGTATGCCACATACAAATTGCTCTATACTTCAGATCTCTGAAAACGTTTAAAGTCATTCAAAATAAGATAAAAAATGAAGGGCCTGGGATTTAGCCCAGTGGTTCCACCACCTTACTCACAAGCACAGGGTCCTGAGTTCAATCCCTGGTACCAAAAAAAAAAGAAAAGAAAAAGAAAATATACAGCTAAACTATGCTAAATTTCACAAAGATTAAAATCCATGTAGTTTTAAAAGTTCAACTTAAAAGAATTCTCTTACTGAGGAAATCTGATATAGTTACACAAATCTGGAAGCTCACCTTAAATGTTACTATTAAACAGTAGACATTTAAATAATAAACCAGGTGGTACGTCCATAATCTACTTAAAAGAATTCTCTTACTGAGGAAATCTGATATAGTTACACAAATCTGGAAGCTCACCTTAAATGTTACTATTAAACAGTAGACATTTAAATAATAAACCAGGTGGTACACGTCCATAATCCCAGCATTCAGGAGGGTTGAGGCAGGAGGATTGCTGTGTGTTCAAGATCAGCCTGGGCTACATAGTGAGTTCCAGGTCAGTCTCAACTACATAGTGAGGCCCTGTCTCAAAAAAATCAATCAATCAATCAATCAATCAATAATAAACTAGGCATGGTGGCGCACACTTGTATCCCAGCACTCAGGAGGCAGAGGTAGGAAGATCTCTGAGTTCGAGAACAGAATGAGCTACACAGTGAATTCAAGCCAGCCTGAATTACATAGTGAGACCCTGTCTCAAAAAACAAAAAATAAATAAGTAAATAAATAATAGAACCAAAATATAAGCAATAGAATCTAAAACATTCTTCAGTCCTTAAGATATTCCACCCATCCACCAGAAATCAAATGGATTAGATCAATAGTCTGGTGACTGAGGCAGGACAATTAGTCATGAGTATCATGCCCAGATCCTCCAACTATTCTAGTTGGTCAGAATTTGTTTGTTTGTTTATTTTTGGTACTGAGGATCGAACCCAGGACCTTGTGCTTGTGAGCAGGCAGCAGAACCATGGAGCCCCAACACTCCAACTATTCTGAAATAGACTACAACTTACTCTGTGTGGCATGGGTTAATCCAGCCTGGAAAAGCCCTCATCCTCAAAAGGCTCTGAATAAAACCCCTTGGGTGTCCACTTCTTGGCAGAGTAGAATTACATGACAGCCATGGCAGTTCTCAATTCTCATTTCAACAGAAAATAGCTGAGCTAATGTCTTCAGCATTATAGTATATATACATACACACACACACACACACACACACACAGAGTCCACAAAAAAATGTATACACATGTCAAAAAGAAAAAATAGTATAATTTTTTTTTTCAATAGATTGTGCTAACTTCGTATGGGGGACCCTAAAGGATACTGTATATTGCAGAAAACCCACAACACTGCTGGCCCCCAGAGAAGAAATTTTAAATGCATGTTCAACAATCTCTATGACCAAGGTTACCCAAGCAGCAGCTCACCATACTAATAAATGTCTGGAAGCTCATGGCCACCACTCTGACCACCTCTTGTAGTTATACAGGCCTAAGGTAATTTGTATTAATTTCATGATGTCTCAATAATTTAGTATTAAGATATTTACATGTTTTTCCTTTCCTCCTGAAGCATATTCATTTTTTTGCTATGTATCTACACACACACACACATATGCATTTGTATATTTTATAAGACATGTTAAATCTGGGTTGAAGGTACGGTTCAATCCCTAGCACAAGGAAGAAAAACAGAGGTGGAAGCTGGGCATGGTAGCGCATGTCTTGTAATCCCAACACTTGGGAGGCTGAGGCAGGAGGATCACAGTGAGCTCAAGGCCAGCCTGGTATACATAGTGAGTTAAAGCCCAACCTGAACTACATAATGAGACCCTGTCTCCAAAAAATTATGTAGCAAAGAAGAAAAGGAGTAGTGGCAAGAGAGGGGAAAAGGAGAGAAGAGGGAAATGGGGGTGAGGAGGAAAAGAAGAAGAAGAAAAAGGAGCAGAAGAAAGAAGAAGAGATAACATGTTAAGACTTGGCTTGAAGATAACGGAAAATCAAATTTTATACTCTCTGTGTTATATAACAGACTAAAATCCTTGAGTATATAATACCATTGCTAATGAATTTCTATGTCTTTTTTGTCATGTTAAGAATCATTCCCACAAAAGTGATCCCTACAAAGGGCAGAAATGATGAACAGTGTTTTCCCCCCAAGTGAAGAAGTCTAAGGCTTAATCCTACAAATAGTAAAGGCACTTAATTTAAAACTTTCCTGAAAAAAAAAGTTAATTAGAATAGCCAGGTATTGTGCTAGGCGCCTCTAGTGCCAGCTAATTAGGAGGCTGAGGCAGGAAAATTGTTTGAGGCCCCAGCACTATACCCTTCTACCAATATGACTGATAACCACTCAAGTGGCATTTCATGAAGAATCCAGTCTCATCTGATGTTGGCATGTAAACACATGAGCATTTACCTCATCAAAGACAGCCCTGGAGAAATCCCCACATCGCAATGTGCCATCATAGCTCAGGGACAGGAGGTGGGCCGGGTTGGCAGGTGAGAAATAAAGACAACTAATGGGCTGACTGTGGACATAGAAAACATATGTCCCATCTTCTTTATGTTGCTGAGTCTGAAAGAAAATGGAGATTCAAACATGATATCATTAAGGTACTTACACTGGGATTACGTCTAGTCTCTTCTTAATCTATAGCTTCACTCATTCTCACTCTCACATTCAGATAGAACTAGGAACTCCATGCTGACATGAAATTTGCTTTCTAATTTTCAGTTCAACAATAACAAGTCACATTTAGTGTCCAGCTTTTTCCAACTAGCAAACTAGTTTCTTTTCACAGCAAAAAGAAAAAAAATGCTGCCTATGTGGGTATGATGGCATACGCCTGTAGTTCCAGCTATTCAGGCAGCTGAGACATGAGCCCTGGAGCTCCAGGCCAGCCTGAGCAACACAGCAAGAACCCCGCTCAAAAGCTAAATGACAAATAAATCACTGCTTATTATGACCTAACATGATGAAACCCTTGAGAAATGAGAAATACACTTTTTATCTCAAATGAGACATAATTTCTTACTACTGAAAATGTATCAATACCATTACCACTTTGCTTCCTAAGATTTAGGCGTTTACGTAGCAACATATTATTCCCGGTATCTTCTCTTTTCTTTCCTGAGACATGGTCTCAGGATGTCCACCAAGGCTGGCTTCCAACTCATGATCCTCAGCTTCCCAAATTCCTGGAATTCCAGGCATGCACCACCAATGCCTTGCAGGGTTATGTTCATAAGGTATTTTGCCCTGGCACATAGTGGCAATTTTAAATGCATTTGTCCTCTAAATACACTACAAACATGCATGTATTTGGACTTCATATTTGTGTCAACTTTTTTAGACTTTCTGCCACTGGACAATCAACTCCTAAAAGTCAAGTTTCACATTTGGACAAATGAAAGTGCTATCATCTCCATATCTGTCTTAATCTGCTATAAAATAGCCAGACAATATTTTTTCTTCTTTTAATGTTAAAATTAAGAGAAATATTTTTAGAAGACACAATGGAAAAGGAAAAAATTACAATGACACACTTTTTTTTGGTACTGAGGATCAAACCCAGGGTCTCACGCTCTACTTTGAGCTAGGTACCAGCTCTTTTTAAATTTTATTTTTATTTTGAGACAAGGTCTTGCTAAGTTGTCCAGGCTGGGTTCAAATTTGCAACCCATCTCAAGAACCTCAGCCTCCCAGAGTGCTGGGATTATATCACACACAATCATTCCTGGCTTCACATATTCTTTTAGCTATGCAGAGTTCATGACCATTACCATCTCAGCATTTTTGTTTATAGCACTCATTTGCTAAGAAAACTAAACTATAAAGAACTGATAGGGCTGGGGATTTAGCTCAGTGGTTCCACTGCCTGCTTTGCAAGCATAAGGTCCCAAATTCGATCATCGGTACCAGAAAAAAAAAAATTGATATAGGAATATGCAAAAATGAGATTTTTTTGGTTTTTGTCTTTTGCCATCCTTGGAATGAAACTAGCTTCAACTCACCTTTGTTTCTCATCTCCATTAAATGTCCTTACAACATTTTTATGTCTGTGTTCTACTTCCCAAAATAGAAAATACATTCATAGACCATTAGCTTGATTTCTCTCAATTTTCTAACCACTGAAAGCCTTACTGAAGTACAATATGCACCGTGAATGGGATGCAGTAAATGTCAAACTCATCAAGATGACCTGGACCATCCTGAGCACACCCCTGAGCAGACATTCCGATCCAGCTCGCAGACTGCTTCTTAGGCCACAGGGGCTGCTATAACAAAATACTGCAGCAGCAGAACAGTATCTCTCAGGTCTAAGAGAAGGCAGTACAAAATCAAGACTCTGGCTGATTCAGTGTTTATGGAGGGTCAATCCTGGCTTATGGATGGCACCTTCTAGTTGTGTCCTCACCTGGTAAAAGGAGCAAGAGATCTCTCTTGGGCTTCTTTCACCAGGGCACTAATCCCTTTCATGAACTAATTACCAGCAAAGCCCACACACCTACTAACACCATCACCTTGGTGCACAGGCATTCAACATATAAATTCTGGGGGGACACACATTCACTTCATAGCAGACCATATTTTAAACATAAGTGAGAAACTGTTTTTTCACATTTTCACGTAAAATCTCCTGGCAGGTGATTTATGCTCAAATGGCTAAAGATATTGAAGCTAAAAATGTTAAAGTTCTTGAAAACAAATTTAAATTTCTTCAGATTTCTAAAATTTGGAATCATAAAACACAAAAGTAAAATCTAAAGCACTGTTTATAAATAAATGTCTATAGCCTATTGCCTTTTAAGATTATTTGCTTCAGTCAAACTTCAATATCTTCAAGAAGGAATAATAACTTACCAAATCCCAAAGTCCAATCTGCCCCAATTTGGACCCAGCTGCTACCAGAATTCTAGTTTCTGATGGGTGGAGAGCCACAGAGGATATTGAGCCTTTGGTAACTTTATGGACATTATCTTCACTAATGACCATGCCATTTAAGTTGGCTTTATAGCTATGAAAATTTAAAAATTAAAATTTTAAAAATAAAATCAATCTCAAGAGTCAAAATAAGATACTTCAAAAAGAAAAACCACAGTTAGTAAATACATACAGGGAAATATTCAACCTCCTGATAACAAAGGAAATTAAGTTAAACAATGATGTACTATTTTTCAATTTAAAAATTTACTTTGATAATTTTAATGATATAGAAAAGTAATAGAGTACAACTTAGGAGGCTGAGGCAGAAAGATCACCGCCAAGTTTGAAGCCAGCCTGGGCTACATTGTGAGCTCAAGGCCAGCCTCAACTACATAGTGAGACAGTGTCTCAAATGAAAAAATAAATAAATAACAGGCTACAGTAAAACTTGGGCTGGGACGTAGCTCAATAGAAGAGCACTTGGCTAGATAAAGCCCTGTGTTTGATCCCTAACATTACAAAAAACATTAACTAGAAATATACACATATACTCACATATATTGTTAGTGATAGAGTTAAGTTCATATAAAATTTTTGGAAGGAAAAAAAAGATTGTTGGAAAACAACTTGATAATATATACTAAAAGTCATAAATATGTCCACAATATTTGGCTCATCAATCCTACCTTTGGACATCTATCCTAAGAAAATAATTCACTATCACAAACACACATGTATATATGCATACAAACACACAAAGTTAAGTAGAAAATAACTTCAAAATGGGATATAAGAAATAGCAAAGAACATAAGTGAAGACTAACAACATTTGGGGCTGGGGACTTAGCTCAGTGGCACCGTGCCTACCTTGAAAGTACAAGGTTTTATCCCTAGTACCAGAAAAAAAAGAAAACTAAGGATATTTGAATAAAATATGGGCTTTAGTTAATATTGATATATCAGTATTGGTTCATTACTTATGACAAATGTACCATATATGTGTGTGTGTGTGTGTATGTGTGTCTATATATATATATATATTTTTTGTTTGTTTGTTTTTGTTTTTTGTTTTTTTTTGTACCTGGGTTCAAACTCAGGTCCTTGTGCTTGCGAGGCAGGCAGTACAAATGTACCATATTAATGCAAGATGTTAATAGAGAAAACCAGGAGCCAGGGATTTACCTCAGTGGTGCCACCACCCACCTTGCAAGCACAAGGTCCTGAGTTTGATCCCCGGTACATAAATAAATAAATAAATAAAACCAAATGTGGGGTATATGCAAATTCTTTATACTATATTTGCAATTTTCTATCATTTAGAACAATTTTATATCATTTAATTCTAAAATTAAAAGTTAATTTAAAAATTTTTGGCAAGTGTGGTGGTGCCCACCTGTAGTTCCAACACTCATGAGGCTGAGGCAGGAAGATCACAATCTCAAGGCCAGCCTGGACTACATAGTGAGTGCAAGGCCAGCCTGAACTGCATAGCAAGACCCTGTCTCAAAAAACCAAACCAAAACAAAAATTTTTAAAGAAAATAACCTCAAATGCCAAATGAGTAACAGAAGGTTAAGTAAATTCCATCTACTCAACAGAATATTTTGCAATTATGCAGTAATTTAAGATTCTGAGCCAGGTGTGGTGACACACACCTATAATCCCAACACTCAAGAGAGCTGAGCCAGGAAGACTGCTGCAAGTGTGAGGCCAGCCAGTGCTACATAGTGAGCTCAAGGCCACCTGGTCTACATAATGGGACCTTGTCTCAAAATAAACAAAAAATTAAAAATTAAAAATAAAAGATTCTAGAGCTCAGTGGTTATGCAGCCTACCTCTCAAGTGCTAGGTCCAAAGTTCGATCCCCGGTACCAAAAATAAAAAATAAAAAAAAATATTCTAGTAACACATGCAAAAACAAGAAAAGCATGATGCAAAATGTTATGTGCATAATATAACAAAGTAAAAATGTGAATTTGTAGGGATAGACAGGAGGAAGCAGGCAGTATAGGGCACAACCTGGGTGGTGACATGAAAGAGATGATCACACTTACACTGCGTGAGGTACTTTGGGAGGTTGCCCTCTGTGGTGCCCCTAGACCCATGAACCTTGGCTAACCCCAGAAACAAAGCTTAAAACGCCAATTGGGCTAGATTATGCCAATAAGTAAAATTGTTATTTTTAGGAATCAGCTTACTTCTATAAGTGCGGACAAGCCAAAAACACTATGTTGAGAAGCTCAGCTGGGGCTTCTCCCTGTCAAACAGCTCGCTTGTTTTTGGCAGACCTCGCTTTTGCAATATTATAATTAAAACTCTGTTTCACTTCACTTTCTTTTTTTTATTTCTGACCAGAGGGATCTCCAGCTTTCAGTCAGTCTCACCTCACCTTCTGCATTCTCCTAGCCTCCCAGACCCCTGCCTGACACAACAAATTCATTCATTTATTCAACATTTAGTGAATACATAGTATGTGCCAGACACTATTCTGATTAGTGAGACAAAATCTCTGCCTCATGAAGTTTATAACTTAATGTATTGCAAATGGCAACACCAAAAGGAAATGAACAAAAACAAAAACAGCTCAGGAGAAATATTAGAAGGAATTTTTTTTCACTTCACTTTCAAAATTTCCTGTAATGTACATAGCTTTTATCACTCAAACATCTCAAAGTGCAGTGGATTTAGCTCAGTCCACCTTGTAAGCACAAGGTCTTGAGTTCAATACCTGGTACCAAAAAAAACAAACATCTCAAAAAATGTAAAACTGCCAGGTAGTGGCTCTTGCCTATAATCCCTGCACTTTGGGAGGTTAAGGCAGGATTATAAATTCAAATCCTACCTGGGAAATTATCAAGACCCTGTCTCGAAATTTTAAAAATTAAACACAAAAAGGGCTGGAGATGTAGCTCCTTGTGAAGCCTTGGTTTCCATCCCCAGTACCACAAAGGGAAAAAAAGTAAAACAAAGTTCAAAAATGTAAAACAAATGTGAGAGGTTTTAACTTACCTTTTAAGGCTAGATAGCTCCTCCTCCATGTTCTTACTACTTGTCTGAAACATTGGGAAAGACATTAATATATATATAAATGGAAATCTCCTTCTCTTCTAAAGACTGTAAGCTCTCTCATGTCATACCTTGTTCATTTCTGCCCATGTCTGCAGAAATCCTTTAAATAGTTCATGGTTGTCATCTGCGTTTTCAGGAATCATTTCTAAAGGTCCAGGAGGTAACAAAGGCTGTAATCAAAAATAAAAATTTTAGCCAGGCATGGTGGCACACGCCTGTAATCCCAGCACTCGGGAGGCTGAGGCAGAAGGATTGCTGTGAGTTTGAGACCAGTCTGGTCTACATAATGAATTCCAGGTCAATCTCAACTATACAATGAGACACTGTCTCAAAAAGACAAAAAAAGGGCCAGGGATTTAGCTCAGCATTTCGGTGGCCTGCCTTGCAATCACAAGGACCCGAGTTCAATCCCCAGTACCAAAAAAAAAAAAATTTACAATTTGGGCTGGGGGTTTAGCTCAGTGGTTCCTCTGCCTGCCTCACAAATGCAGGTCCCGAGTTCAATCCCTAGTAAAAAAAAAAAAAAAATTTATAGTTTGTACTGTATTTGTCTGTCTTTTCACTATTTTACTTTCAACACAAACAACCTAGAATATAGAATATCATAGGTGTTCAATAATAACTGTCAACAAATAATGCCAACAAAATATGTCAAATGCTAACAAGGATACAAAGAAAGTGGAACTCTCATAAACTGCTGGTAAGAATGTAAATTAGTAGAGTCGTTATGGAAAATAGGATGGAGGGTCCTCAAAAATTAAAAACACGACTACCATATGACCCAATTACCCCATTCCTGGGCTTATATCCATAGGAATGGAACCAGTATGTTAAAATGATAGCTGTACTCACATGTTCACTGCAGCATGATTCACAAGATCCAAGATATGAAATCAACCTAAATGCTCATCAACATGTGAATATGGAGGGCCAGGGATTTAGCTCAGTGGCGCCACACCTGCCCCACAAGTGAAAGGTCCTGGGTTCAATTACTGATGGCGGGGGTGGGGGGCTGGGGGGTGAATGTGGAATAAGGAAAATGTGTTGTATACACAATGGAGTATTATTCATACTTCTACAAGGAAAAAAAAAAGGAAATTCTCTCCTTTGCAGCAATATGGATGAAATCAGAGGGCACTCTGTTAACTGAAATAAATCTGACATAAAAAGACAAATACTGTATCTTCCCATTTATATGTAGAATCTAAAGTTCATTTCAGAGAAGGAGCCTGGGAAGAGTGTGGAAGAGGAAGGGAAGGATCCAGCATGGGTTAACGGGTATAGGGTACAGCTGGATCCATGGGGTACTTTCTTATGGTCTACAGGAATGAGTGACAATAATTAACTGAATATTTCAAAATAGCTAGTAGAGCCAGGGATTTAGATCAGTGGTTCCACTGCCTGCATCGCAAGCACAAGGACCCGAGTTCAATCCCCAGTACCAAAAAAAACAGTTAGTAGAGAAGATTTTAATGTTCCCAACACAAAGATACATGTGTGAGGTGAGAGATGAGTCAATTACCCTCAATCTGATCATCCCACGTTGTGTACATGTATTGAAATGTCACACTGTACCCCCTAAATATATACAGTAACTATGTCAGTTTAAATGTACATTAGTAGAAAATGTAATACATACATATTTATAATACATACATGTATATGTAATACATACAAACATATATATGTACATACATTGTCCTTCTCTGCCAAGGTTTTCTAAAGTACAGGTTGCAAACTATTAAAGGGTTGTGAAATCTTTTTGTTACTTGGAATCAAACTCCAGGACACTCTACCACTGAGCTACAATCCTTAGTCCCCGCCACCCTTTTTTTGGGACAGGGTTTTATCATGTATTTCAGGCTAACCTAGCAGACCAGGCTGGCCCCAAACTCACAGCAATCCTCCTGCCTCAGCCTCCCAAGTGCTGGGATTATAGGCATGAGGCATCACACATGGCACCCTATTCCTTTTGATTTTTTTGGTGGGGGATAACTGAATTTTAATCTCAGCTCTGCCATTCATTGTATGATTATGAACTAGTTATTTTTTAAATTTATTTTTATTAGTACATATTTGCCATAATGATCACAATCATAGAAAATTTGTACTTGTATCTTATTTTTTTTCCCATTACCCACCTCTCCCTTCAACCCTTCTTCCTCTCCCCATTTACGAAAACTGTTTCCAATCTTTTTCTTCCATTTTTTAATCTTTTCCCTTCTTTTCCTTCCCCCTGCCCTCGCTCTTGTTCCCCTTCCTATTTGAACATGTTCTTCCTACTTTCCAATACCTATTCTCCATTTTGTTCCTTATTTACCAAATCCAACATTTAAATTTGTATGTCTGATTTATTTCACTTAACAGTATGGTTTCCAGGTGCATCCATTTACCTAAAAATGACTCATGTATCCTTCTTTATGGCAGAGTAGTACTCTGTTGTATACAAATAACCACATTTTCATTTTCCATTTACCTGTTGATGGACATATAGGCTGTTTCCAAGATTAAGCTATTATGAATTGCACTGCTACAAACACGAGTATGCATAGATCACTGTGGTATAATGCTTTTAACTCATTCAGAAAGATACCCAGAAGGGGCACAGCTAGGTCAAATGGAATCTCCATACTGATTTCTATAGTGGTCATACCAATTTACACTCCCATTAGTAATGGAGAAGGGTTCTTTTTTCCCCACAGCCTTACCAGCATTTGTTGCTGGTTGATTTCTTGATGATAACCATTCTTTCTGGAGTGAGATGGAATATCAGTGTTGTTTTAATTGTATTTCTCAACTGGCCAGTGATGTTGGGCGTTTTTTTCATGTATTTATTTGCTGTTTGGACTTCATCTGAAAAGTGTCTAATCATTTCAGATGACCATTTCTGGATTAGGTCTATAAATTTGCAGTCTGATTTTTTAAAATTATGTATATATTTATTCTAGATGTTAAGCCTTGGTCTGAGGAGTAGCTGGTAAAAACTTTTCCCATTCTGTGGGTTATCTCTTCACTGTGCTGGTGGTTTCACTATACATGGTATTTTATTTTGAGACAGGGTCTCACTAGGTTTCTCCATAAAGAACTCAAACATGCAATCCTCCTGCCTCAGCCTCATAAGTGTGGGATTACAATATCTACACTTGGCTTGTAAAGTCATTGTAATACATATTTCATAACCAGCACTCTGTTTTAGTGAATAAGACCAAAAGAAACCTTGGGCATGGTAGTACATGCCTATAATCCCAGCACTCGGGAGGTTGAGGCAAGAAGATTGCTGTGAATTTGAGGCCAGCCAGGGCTACATGATGACTTAAAAGCCAGTCTTAACTATATAACAAGACCCCGTCTCAAAAAAACAAAACAAGGGGGCCGAGGATTTAGCTGAGTGGTGCTACCGCCTGCCTCCCAAGCAAAAGGTCCCAAGTTTGATCCCTGGTACCCCCCAAAAAAAATAATAACAATAACAATAATTTCAGGGCCAGGGATTTAGCTCAGTGGTTCCACTGCCTTCCTCTCAAGGGCAAGGTCCTGAGTTCAATCCTGGGTACCAAAAAAAAAAAACCAAAAAAGAAAAAAAAAATTTCATTTAGGAAATCTGATAAAGCTGTCATTCCACTCCCTGACAATATAAACTACAGCAAGGAAAACTCTTCACTTTTATCACATATTATTCATTATCATTAACATTAATAACTGTCTTTTATTATTTACTAAGCCAGTGGCGGCAAACCTATGGCAGACATGCCACCAGAGGGCTGTTTACTACTGAAAGCTCTAAAAGGTTCGCCATCACTGTGCTAATCCATTCGTACAATGTGTCTAAAGCCGGGGCTCGGGAAGGTTAAATGATTGTTTACCTATAACTCCAGAACTTCAGAAAACCAGAACCCAACCCAGGCTTTATGACTTTGAAATCTTACTCTCTAAACCAAGTAAGATGTAAGTACTATGTTAAACATAAATCAAACATGATTTAAATAATCTTTAACTTCAAATACTTTAAACTTTTCAGCATTTTGTTAAGTTACTATATTTGATTTGATTTGCACTTTTTCTTACATTTTCATCTTCTATTAACATTGGCGCTGTTGGAGGTGCTGGTAATGAGACTCCTGAAGGACTGACTTTCAGCAACCGCATTGACCTTCTACATCCAATCTCATTTTCTCTCTTCTTAGGCTTCTTTCTAAAGAAGTAGAGAAAAATTCATGTTATGCTGCAGTGATAAAACACTAAAATGAATTTAGCAATATTAAGGAGATCATGTCTAGGAATGGGGCCCACACATATAGCCACATATTGATGCATATACATTGATTACATTGATATATATACATGATCGCATTCATCTTAATGAAAAAGTCTAGAAAAGGCCAAACCTAAATGTTCAACATGAAAAGAGACACTAAACAGATTATGGCATTATTATATAACAGAATGCTATGTAGCCATAAAGAGAAATATAGCCAGGTATGCACGGAGGTTTGATTGGAGAGGGGAGGGAGAGGGGGAAGAGGAAG